TTTCTCCCTGAGCAGCTCCAGGATTTGTTGTGTGAATAAAATGAGGGTAATAAAAAGTAGCAGCAGGGATGCAGATGTAGTGATTTTTCTCTTAGCTACGTGCATAAGCAAAGGTTCTGTAATGTACATTTAGTAGCTGTCTCTTTCTGTGTGGATACCGTATTAGCTTGCAAACCCTTGACCTGGACCGAATGGCTGGTTACTATGGCAACAGGTTGCATAGTAACAGGTTTTGTTCCTAGGTTGAAATCATCTTGCTTCTCTTCAATGTGACTTTTGGGGAGGTCAGAAGTTGCTCATCAGATGAAACTAGGAAAGTTTTTCAAAGGAGAGGCAAAAGTGTTGGTGTTCAGCAACCTGAGCATCTGCTGAGAGATGTTCTTTGCTCGTGGCAGTGGAAAAAGGTAGTTGGCTCCCCCACCTTGTCCACTTCATTGAAGTGGAAGTCAGCAGCTCACCAGAGGAAAAAAAAGCAGTTCTTGGAAACAAGATGACTGTAAGAGCTTTGGGGGAATTTGTCTGCTGTGTGACTCCTGCTCCCAATCCCGCTAAAGGCAGTAGGCAAATATTAACAGCTTAACACTCCAGTAACCTTGAAAATTTCTGAACTTAAAGTAAGCCTCTGATCAGCTGCTGTCCAGCTGGACTGCTTCTAAAACCTCTGCTGACCTGGTCCGGATTCACACTGAAGCCCTTTATAAATCTAAATTTTAAAGAATGACAACCATACACTTCAGAAGAGCAGTTTTTTGGCTTTTTGATGGCGCTGCTTGGCAAGATCCTATGGGAGACTGCCCTGGGGGGCAGAGGGGCTGAGGTTGATCTACAGGGATGACTTCCCTAGAGCACAGGTGCCCCACTCCAACATGCCGCAAGCAGAGCCAAGCGCGGCAGAAAGCTGGTGTGGATCGGCAGGGGCCTCCTGACTGAGCTCCAACACAGAAAGAAAGTGCACAAGATGGGAGGGACTATCCAGGAGGGACATAGAGGCAGTGGCCATGCTTGCGGGGACAGAGCTGGGAAAGGCAAAGCTCAGCCAGAGCTCAAACGAGCTATGGGAAGGGTTTCTCTGGGTACATTGGCAACAAAAAGAAGGCTGTGAAAATACGGGCCTGCTGCTCAGTGGAGCGGGGGTGAAGGAAATTAAAGGTACTTGATGCCTTTTTTTGCCACAGCTTTCACTAGTAAGGTCTGTCCTCAGACCTCCTGGGTTTCTGAGTCTGCTAACAGGGTCTGTGGGAATGTAGCATTACCCACAGTAGAGGAAGACAGTGATATAGCTCTTGAGCTAATTGGATGTACAGCAGCCCTGGCACCAGACAAGGTTGTCACGAATGGGGGTTTGTGAATCCTGCCCATTATGTTAATTTATCATGAATGAGTGACTTTACACAGTATAATTTAGTAGCAGTTTAGAATTTACTTGTGACAAATTGCAGGATTTGATTGTGATATTTTAATAGCACTCAGTCATCAGTGATTAAAACAGAGTGATTAGACAAAATCAATCAAAACAGCGACTTAGTTACAGATTCGAAGATGGCAAGGTTCACTCTATTACTACATGAAACTGCATAAAGGAAAATTAAGTTACACTGAGTTGAAATGATTCACAGAGAGATTGTATATACAGGGGATAAGGAGGACCCTCCTGTTGAGTCATGAGGTTCCGAATAGACCCCCTTGCTTTCTAAACTCCTTCTCAGAGAAGAGTCTAGTTGCAGCTAAGGCCAATCTTAGTCTCAGACTTGGTCAACAGTTTATGTGAATAAGGATAAATCAAACATCTACAGACTGCTTAAATTGATTTACACATGCATATACACAGACATGAATACATATATATATATGTATATATAAGGTATACCTGTTAAAAATTCCCTTTGAGTTCAGTGAAATATTCACATCAAATGCCTTGGCATTTCTCAATGGGCGAGGGCTGAGTCTCAAGGAGTGAAAGGTTTCAGCCCAGGCTCCACTGTCAGTCTTTGACAGTGGACCTCTGGTTTTAGCAAACTTTAAGAGTTTGCCAGCTCTGAGAGGCGTCCCACTCAGAGGGAGATGCTGGTACAGCCCGCTGTAGTCCAGGAGAGCTCAAATGGCCTCAATTTAGGACTGCTGTTTATAGGATTGTGAGATGATTGGCTTTAGTCATCCATCTGAGCCATGATCTGGGTCAGTAATTACTGGAATTCCAGTAATCATGGTACTGCTCTTTTTTCAAGGCTGCCAGGTAACTGGTTGTTCTCATTCCCTGTCTTTGTTTCATTCCTGCCAGGTAACTGTTCTCACTCCCTGCTTCAACCATGTAGGAATTCTGGTACAATTAAGGGGCGCCTAATTGACCAACTCACTACGCAATGGTCGTGGTCTGGCAGGAATTCCTGAGATAAAAGGTGTGGGGGGGGATGCACCACCACAAGGTACATCCAAGGGTGAAGAGGGGCTTGGTTCATGTCACTGTGAAGCCACTTGGCGATCAGGGGAGGTTTCTGGTGACTGGAAAAGGGCAAGTATTGCGCTCATCTTCAGTACTGTTAAATGTCTTTATTAACCACCTGGACAATAGCGTGGAGAGCAGCTTCGGCAAGTCTACGGATGAAATCAGACTGGGGAGAGCGGTCAGTACACCAGAGGGGCCTGGGCAGGCTGGAGAAACAGCAGACAGGAACATCATGAAGCTCAGCGAAGGCAAACAAAGAGTCCTTTTTCCAGGGTGGAAAAACCCTGTGCACCAGTACAAGTTGGGGACTGCCTGGCTGGAAAGTCAGAAGTGCCCTGCAGGTGCTGGTGAAGAAGTTGAACCTCAGGCCACAGCATGCTCTTCTGGCAAAGAAGGCCAAACATGTCCTGGACTGCATTAGCAAGACTGTAGCCAACAGGACCTGGCTACATCTGCAGTGCTGTGTCCAGTTTTGTGTACCCTGGTCTGAGAAGTAAATTAAATACAGGAACAAGTCTGGTGGAGAGCCATCAAGATGGTCAGGGGGCTGGAGCAGATGATGAACAAGGAGAGGCTTAGGGAACTGGGTTTGTCCAGGCTCCAGAAAAGAAGGGTAAGGGGGGGTATTATTGCTGCCTACAGCTTTCTGATGGGAGGGTATAGAGGAGCTGGAGCCACACTGTTTTGGGAGATGTGCTGTGAAATGGCGAAAGGCAACACAGGAAACTCTTGAGTAGATACTAAGATGAAGTTCTTGCTGTGAGGGTGGTCAAATGCTGCAGCAGGGGTCCTGGGAGGTTGCCAGATTCCCATCTGTGGGGACAGTCAGAACTTGGTTGGCATGGCCCTGGTGCGGCTGAGTGGGGATTGGATTGGGTGACCTCTAGGGGCTCCTTCCAGCTGAGATCATTCCGCAAGTCTCGGTCTCTTTTCTCTTTGGCCATAGAGAAGAGCGAGTGTAACTGGGAGCCCAGACCAGCACTCTGCCTGTGGGTGGAACTGAGAATGTGTTGTGTGGTTATGTTACCCTCCTTTCCCCCTCTCTCTCTCAGCCCTATACATCTCTCTTGCCTGGTGAGCAGTGTCATCACGTTATACCTCAAATATTTGGTAATGACATGTCACTGTAATCCCCCTAGAGAACTCTTCAAATATTACTCATTTCTTCTTTAATATTAAACATGCCGCTGGGTGTTTTACCCTTATACCCTTTTGGCATTTATAAAGTAAGCAGAGTTCAGCACCGACAGGAAAGTATATGTAGGTAGGAGCTTATAGAAAAACAAAATCCAGACATGACATGTCATTGGCTTTATTTTTTTTTTCCTTTATGCCAGTTGATATAATTTCTTAGCAACTGTCAACCTCTAGCACTGTCAGAACAGTCACTTACAGCTGTGCTGCTGCACTGTGATCCCGTCAGACAAGAGGGACAAGGGGGAGTGAAGTGGGGTTGTCCATTTGTCCATTTAAGTCTTGGAAGAATTTGAAGGGCTGCAGCCAGCTGGTGGAAGCAATAGAAAGAGTTCACTAGGGTGAAGGGATCGGCAGCGGCAGGAAAGAGAACACTGAAACGGAAGAAACAGAGTTTGAAGTGATGCTGCTGTGGAATGGAAGGAACAAAAAATGCAGAGGGCCTGACTTGGCTTGGCTTTAGGCTGTTTTTCCTGTAAATCTTAAAGTTATTTTACAAAGCGTTGCTAGTCCTCAGGGTGGTGGAGAGTGCAGGTTTAAAAGGTTACACCGGTTGCCCAGTGCTTCCGCAAATCAATGGCAAATCATAAAACCAACAGAAGAATTTATTACCAGTGACCCGGCAGCCTGGCCAGCAAGCGCAGTACCTGGCTCGTCCTCCATGTGATGCAACCGTGGTAGGAATGTGCTGTTGGGAGATGTAAATCTTGAGGACATGCCTGCTTGTCATTAAAGAGATGACAGAGCTTTCTTCATGCATGGAAATGTCAAGCAAGCATCTTGACCAAATTATCAGATGGTTGGTTGGTTGCATCTTGACGTTGTAGGACATGCCAGCGGTTACATGGGGGAAGAAAAGATGCTCTTTGCTTCCTGTCCCAAAGTATTCTGGCTATGCTGCTGTGCACTGTGAATGTCCGTGTGGCAGCCCGGAGCAGGCTGTGCTGCAGACGCTTAGGAAGTCAGCAGGGTTTATATAAAGCTCTGCTGGGTTTCTGGAACTTTTTGGCTCCTTTCCAGCATGGAAGTGGCGATATAAATAGAAGAATGTCTCACTTTTGAAGTCTGCCTTCTATTCACGGAAAGGAAGAACTTTGTGCCGGAGCTGTGATATAATAGCTTTTAAATACAAGTCTCAATACCAGTCCTATGACAGGCTTGACCACATTTCAATGGGATGCGAGTGAGCTCAGTAGCCTATAGCATCACATCTCTGTTAGCTGGTTGCTGACATCTGAATAAGGTTTGGCTGTGTGAAAGCAGGGTTCAAGAGTAATCCATCCTCCTACCTCCCCTCCCAGCTGCTTGTGTCCCCGCTAAAAGGAAAAAAATGTTGCTTTTCTTTTTTTTCCTTTGGTCAGAGTAACAAAATGTTTGGGACCGTGGTGGTTGGAGTTGGAATTGCTGGCTTAGCACGGATCCGAGACTTGATGAATCCGATGCCTTCCAGCCCTTCTGAGCACCTGAAACTCTTTGGATTTGTATCCAGGTTAGAAATTTCATCTTAGCATGTTTAATATGAATATTGTAACATCTCTTTCTTCCAGTGCACGCACCTTTCCATGTGGAGGACTATTATTTGAGGGGGCAGGGGATGAATATCCAAAGTTTTATATTTCTCTTATAATTAAGGCTGTCTGAAAAGGGAAAGCTTATGCAAATATGCCTGTCTTTCTGAGTGGCAGCTAGGAAATGAGCACAGAAAGCTTTGCAAGAGGGAACAAATAGATTACTTTAGTGAGATACCTTGCAGAAGTGACTAAAATAAAAGCTGAGAGACGTTCTTGCTGCAGGATCTGTGTGATAAAAAGAAATGCAATTCTGTCTGACTGAAATTTCCTGTAGGTTTGGGATGGTACAGACAATAATTATACTAATGAGCTAATGTCTGTGTGAAATTTATAGAAATGTTTAAAAAACATAAGATGTTTTACAAAGTTTTTAAAAACTTTTTTTTACAAAAGCACGTGTTTTAACACTGCAACAGTTTAACACTGCAGTGTTTTAACACTGCAACTTCATCCTAAAATTCTTTTTTTTTTTTAAACCAAATACCGAACCTGTAGATGTCTTTAAGAAAATCTCATCATTTAGTACATACAGTAAGGTTGCCTCTTGGAGAGCAACTTTATGGGTTTTCTCACTAGCTTGGAATCATGGAAATTTAGCAAGACTGTGTTACGCATATACCTCCATGTGAG